AAGAGCAGCAACGGAGTATTTTTCCTTGCTTCTGGTGACAGAATTCCACCGAGAGCAAGGTGTCAGCAAGGATTGCAGGCAGGGGACTCTTTGAGTTCACGTCCCAGGCGAAGAAGGCATCCATGACGGCCTGATCTACTATGTCGAAGTGGAAGGGGAACAAGATTGTTCCAAAAATGATAAGGGCCAGGGTTTTGTTGAAGGTGACCCACTCTGCCCTTTCAACCAGATAGGACAGGTGGTCTTCTAACATTGATACTTTCCAACCCTGGGCATTCCCCTTCCTTATCAGGGTACTCTGCCGGAATGGTAGCTGAATAAGGGCAGCGACTGGTGCTGCAGGAGTGTATGCCTCGTGGCGGACATGGACCCCGGCTGATTTGGGCCATTTCAACATGGTCTCATACTCCTCTAGGGTGGGCACCATGTCGAACTGCGGAAATTCGAAACATCGCAGCTTGGAATTCCATAAGTGGATTAGTGCCCTGAGGAACACCTGATCGACACAGATCTTCAGCAGGTCTAAAATCCGTACATAGGATTTTTCAAAGTCAGCGCGGACCTCTGGTGGCATTGCCGCGCTTAGCCGTTCCAACCTCTCAGTATGGAAACGGGGAATATCCACCTTCTTTGGCTGTCTACTAGTCCCCTCCATTTCTAAAACCAAAATGCATGTTTGATGAAAAGGATGCTTATTTGAATGAATGTGAGTGTTTATTTTCTTATTTATCATGTTTTTCTACATTATGTATGCTAATTGCGTATATATATTTTTTTTTTTGAAGAATAAACTATTTATATGAATGTTTTATGAGTGTAACATTTTTGGACCAGGTCTTATTTATGGAAACGGGTTTTATTTTGATTTTTATTTGATGTTTATTTGCTTATTTTATAGCCTTTTATCTCTTCTGTCGGAACTGCGTGGCTACTTAGCTTACAAAGAACCTGAAACCAGGCTAGCTAAAAGGCAGACTGTCCGAGATAAAATATGGCTTTATGCGAAAGAATATTTAGCGTCCCTTATCTCTTCTGTCGGAACTGTGTGGCTACTTAGCTTACAAAGAACCTGAAACCAGGCTAGCTAAAAGGCAGACTGTCCGAGATAAGAGTGTTTATTTGCGAAAATATTTTTGTGATTTTTGTTCTGTTGTTTGTTTATGCTATGCAACAGACTAATGCAACAAACATATGCGCACACAATTCGGTCATCCCTGAACAGGCGAGAATTCGTTTTTATCACGAGGTAGGGTTTTCCTGCAGAAAAGTACATTGGCGAGGGTTAGTTCTAACTGTTATCACCAGGCTAAGGCCCCCAAGGTGCCCCCATTATAGGGTCCCCACTCTCCAGCCGTCCGACCATGCTTAGCACTAAGGCCATAGTCAGTCTTGTTGCCAAAAGAGGAAGGTTATCACCTTGAGTGGTGGTTTCCGATCACACTGGTGGGCTCAAGGCCCTCACTACAGTGAACCGTACCTGCCACCCACTCCCTATGGATTTCTCACTTGCCCCCGGGTATAGAGGGAACTGTAGTGTGCAAGGGTTTGTGTACAGTTTGTATTTCACACAATTGCGTAAGTATAAACAAGCAACAATTATTAAAGTCAAACCGTAAAACATGTTATAATACAAGTTAAGGGCAAAAAGCGTTATTTTCTTGGTTTATTTATTTTTAAGCCGGCCCATCACTAAATGGGATCAACTCTCGAGGTTTCCCCAGTGGAGTCGCCATCTGTCGCCGCCACCAAAAACGAGGGGCGGTCGAAGCGATGCTATGGTTTCGACCCTCTTGATTTTCGCGTTTTTTATGGGTGGTTACAACGTCTTTAGGTTGTCTGATAACCGGGCTAACCTAGGGGCGAGGTTTTCGAAAGGGCGTCATTGGGTTGTCCGATAACCGGGCTAACCCAAGGACTAATTTTTGAAGGGTTCTGTGGAGTCGCCACCGATGTTTTTACCGGAAACATCGAAAAAGGAGTTTAAAAGGCGTTGATTTTTGAAAAACCAACTTTGGTCCTTAGAACCAGAGTTGGGTAAGGGAGTTAGTTACGTGTAAAGGAAGTGTTAATTCCTTTACGATGCCCCTTTCGGGTTCCCTATGACAGGCCAGCTATTTTATTAATAAATAAACCGGAAAAACGCGTTTTTGCCCTTTTATTTTGCGGAATTTAAATTTATGACTACATGGCCCTAATATCTATTGCATAATTTAAAATTAAAGCGGTAAAAGTAGAGAGGGAGAATTTAAACCTCCGAAGCAAGCTTTCTTTTTATTTCTTTTAAAAAAAGAGGGTGCTTTGTGGCAGCCCTTCACTCTACACAGCGCTGAAAACTTTTCTAGACGCCGAGAAACGCTCACAAAGGCACTCAGAAGCTCCGGAAATGCGTCGGAGGGATTCTAGAGAGAAGATCTAGAGAGAAGGGAGAGCAAAGTTGTGTGTGGTGTGTGGAAATGGGGGGAGGGAGCCCCTATTTATAATTTTTCGCGCCTGACAGGTCGAGACCGTCGTTCTCGTCTGACAGGGTCGAGACCGCCGTCTCGCCAAACGAGACCGCTGTCTCGTCCTTTGCAGGTGGCGAGACCGCCGTCTGGGAAAGCGAGACCGTCGTCTCGCCATTCGCAGGTGGCGAGATCGCCGTCTCGTTTGGCGAGACGGCGGTCTCGCCATTTGCATGAGGCGAGACGGCGGTCTCGATTTCGAGACGGCGGTCTCGTCCCCAAAAGGGCGAGAAACCTTATTTTCGTGCCAAAAATCCCTCCTATCCTAATATGGGGCCTAATAGTCTCTCCTAGTGGCTTGTTAGGCTTCGTCCGTCTTCGAATAGGAGGTCTTCTACTCTTTATTTGGTGGCGGGGCAAGATTTGGGGTCTACACTAGGCCATTAAAACTATATTAAGATAACTTTGCTTAAATATTTATGTCTAGGACCAGTAAAAGTGAAAGTCAAAATAAACCTATCGACACTAAATATTTAGTTATAAGTGATCATTGAGCATGTTATCACTAAATTGAAAATTGTTAATTCATTTACTAAAGGTATGTCACCAAATAATTTTAAGGATCATATAATATAAATGGGACTTAGCCGCATGTTATGACAATCAATAATTTTACTTTGATAAAACTCTTATTTAAATTTAATATTTTATTTATTTATTGTACATATATTTGTTTATTTTGATAAATTACATTTAATTTGACCAAAAATAAACATATGGTTTATTTATTACAGTTAAAGAATCTTTGATCATAGACTTATCTATCAATATTATTCATATATTTAATTTCTTGTTATGATCAATAATGGGATAAATGGTGTGAGAATGTTTAGTAATTGGTAATTTTAGAGATATGAATATAACTTAGCCATTTTACTAAATATCATAAATATTTTGTACTTTACGTGATCAAACATGCTCTCTTCTATAACATTCTACACCATCAAAGTTTAAAGGATTTGAAATCATAAATTACATTCAGAATATTCGATGGTAAACAATGATTAGAGATGTGTTATTTCTCATTTTTCCATTTCAAATTTAACAATGTTTACAAATATTACTGCATTTCAACTTTACCAGCATAGTTCATGATGTCGACGATGAATATCTGTCAAACATACATGAATTTTTTATTATTATTTTTGTATGCTTCTAAATTTTGTAAGTTGTCTATGTGTATCTTATCTTATTTTACCAATATAATGCTATGAAAATGAAATTAATTGTTAGCCTTCATAGTTATTAAGTTTATTCATCGTGAGAGACTCAAAATCCTAAATCAATTAAAAAAATAAATAACAATGTAATCCTCTCCCATTCTTTTTAAATGAACAAATTCTAAATTACTCGCCTCCCAGTTTCGTTGACGACAAAAGTCTAATTCGATTATATAATATTCTTTTCAATAAAAACCCAAATAAATTACCACTAATGTCCTTTAATCAAACAATATATAGAGAAAATAATGGGATCAATGTCAAATAGGGAATGTACACCCATAATTAGATATGTATATTGTATAAAATAGATGTTGCTGAATTATATTAACATCAGTAATGTATTATTAATTATCTTATAAAAGGATACACATCATTAAACAAAAAGGAAATATGTTAATTTATTTATAAAATAATTAAAACTTTTAATAATAAACCAAAAAATTTAATATTATGCTACAATGTTGAAATTTTATAAATTTTCTAATAATTTAAAATAAAAACGAAGAAAAAGTGTTTATGATTAATCTTTTCCCATTAACTTGTCTATATATAAATTTTTATTGATTTAAACTAAAATTTTGAAATCTTTTTACTCTTCATTTCAATTTCACCTAAAATTTAAATATTATTTTAAAATATACTTCGATATAATTACATTTTTTTATTAGATATTTAAACATTTTACCTAAAAGATGTATATAACTAAGTTTGTTATACAAAATTTGGAGGGATTTCGTAAATTAAGTTTAAAGTTTCGTAAAAATCTCGATTAAATTTAGACTCAAAATCAAAATGTTAGAAACTTGTAATCTAGTTAAGTACTACTATGTCTTTCAACTATGACAACATCCTCCAACTGCAAACAGGTAATCATCCTATTATTAATATTGTGAGACTCCTAAAAAGAAAAAGAACTTGTTAATTTCTTTCTTTCTCAATGATAAAAACCTATGATTTTTTAATTAAATTATCTCCCATTTTAAATTTAAAGCTTTTGCTGCGAAAAAAAAATTATTCTTGATTTTAATGCATATATACAAAACTAAAGTTTCTCATTTAGAGAAGAAAGATGGATCCTAAAAATGGGTCAATTCAATACACAATGGCAATTACATCAAGTCAACATTTTATCATGATAAATGTAAATATCAGCTCCAGAAATGCGAATTTAATTAATGTTTCAGAATTCAACATAAGAAAACATCATCCATACAAAAAAAAAAAAAAATTGAAAAGACTAAATTCTTGAGAAACTAACTGTTGAAATATAATTTTATCATGGCGCAATCCTAAGCGGGTCGCGAGGGAAAAGCGATGTTTTGCGAATGTTATTCAGACCACAGAAGAGCATCACAACACGCTCCAAGCCTACTCCAAAGCCACCATGTGGCGGTGCACCATATCTGGAAATAATCAAAATCGAGCAATTAGTTTTTGACAAACAATTTTTTTTTTAAATTGAAAAAGAAAATATCACCAGAGCTAAGTAGGAGGAGGCGTAAACAAATAATATGAGACAAGAGGAAGAGGAGAAAAATAATACCTGAAAGAATCGATGTATGTAGATATTGTCTTGACATCAATGCCGCAAGCTGCTGCACGTTGTTCCAAAAATTCTGGCACATGAACACGCTGAGCTCCTGAAATTATCTCCTCACCTAAGGAACAAGGAGGAACCCACGATAGTTCATATCAGAACAGGAACAGAAACCAGAACCTTATATTGAAATACATACACAAAGTCAATTGGACAAGATTGTCATGCCAATGCAATTTATGAAAGAATAACTTCTTGCCTACCTCGAATAAAGACATCAAACGAGTTGCTGTATGCTGGATTGTCATAGCAAGGCATTGTATAAAATGGCCTTACAGCCAAAGGGTACCGATGAAGGATATAGAACTCTGTGCCATACCTGAATACAACAACAGCAAACTAACTTAAATAACATGTCACGACCAAAGATAATATTTTGTGGTAAAAAAAGGTAAGAAAAGGACTTACTTCTCCAAGACTAGTTGACCCAATTTCCTTTCCGCTTCAGTATTCAAGTCACCAAAAGGTTCAATTTCTACTCCAACTTCCTGCACATTGCAAAACATGCATACTGAAAATTCGTACTATCCTACAGTTTAGTGCAGTTTGGGATGAGTTTACCGTGTGACCGAAAATCTAAACACTACAACTTATTCATTTTGACAATGGGAAATGTCCGCTCAACAGGTGTTGAACATGTTTTCAAACACACCCTTAGTGGTAGGTCAAAGTCCTTTTCTGAGCCTATGGCATAGTACTCAATGGCAGACGGCGGTAGCAGAATGACCGTCATTCTGCTTTTTATTTCAGGGATACCTATTTTGAATTTTTTTAACACAAACATATATATATATATATATATATATATATATATATATATATATATCTAGAGAGAGAGAGAGAGAGAGAGAGATTTTTGCATATATATAGTTTAAAAAAATTATATTTTTTTATATGTACTTATAATAATATTATTTAGAATTCCGTTCCTATTATTATTATTATTTAATTTATAATATATTATGCTTTAAATATTATTTTACTTTATATTATGCTTTTATTTTTTTATTTAGTTTTATTATATTATATACTACAATTTATTATTATTATTATTCAGTTGATTATATTAAGTTATTTTACGTAAAAAGCAAAGAAGAAAGCTATTGGAACAGAGGTCCAACAATTCAAAACAGACATTATTAAAAAACATTGAAGGTCTATCGGCGACTGCAAAGTTAAGAACCATGCTCAACAACAATGAAGGTCACAGAGCCTCTTTCGTCAACAGCACCGATGAAGGAGCAAATTGAATTAAAAGCCTACAATCATCGCAACATCCACGCACTCCAAAACAAGTGCCTTAGGCACAAAAAGGGGCTGGTCAGCTCCACCACCCCGTGAATACGCACAATGGACAACTACGGTCTATGATAACTATGATTCAACACTGCAACGAACTTCCAGAACTATATATTCGAGAAACATCTAGACAGGAAGACCTCGGATCAGCTTTCACACCCTTTCGAAAAGTACAACAGGATCCTAAATCTAACCCAATTAGATTGGGTTAGGTATTTAGGTGATTGGGTCAAACCTAAACTAATCCACTCCAATCTCCTCCAAGTTGAGTGTCGGATTTCGTATTGGGTCACGGATTTAGTATGTTCAACTGAGACCCTACCCAATCCACTAGCTCAAAAACATTAAATAATATTAACATCATTAATAATAATATAGCTATTATTTACTTTATTCAATATTAAATAAATATGTATTTTTGAAATATTAGATTATTCAAATGATAAATAATACAATCTACTTTTAACAAGTTATTCTAAAAACCTAAAAAATATATATTTTTAATTTTCGCATATTGACTTGAATGATTCTTGAGAATTATCTGTACGCTAATCTATAGATTAAAATGTGGGACATGCTTGGATTGAGTTGAGTTGGATTGGGATTTTATATTTTTTAATTTAAACTATCCAACCAACCCTATCCTTGATCAGGTTGGATTAAGTGGATCATAATTTTTTTTTAAATATTTTGTATTTTTTTAATTTTAACATATTTTTTAAATATAATTTTTAGGAAATAAACTATATTATTTATCATTTAAATAATTTAATATTTTAAAAATACATAATTAGTTAATATAATAATTGAATAAATTAAATAATAGCTATTTAGTATTATTATTATTATTAATAATGTTAATATTATTTGATAATTTCGATCTGGTAGATTGGGTTAGGTTAGGTCTTGGGGATTGGATTTGACCCGAACAGAAAATAAAACCCAATCAAATCTACTTGGATTGAATAATCAAATTACCTAAGCCAATGAATACTCCTGCCAAGAATGGCTTTAAACACCCCTTCCCTTCTTCTCTATGTGTTATGCAATAGATAATAAAATAAGATGTAGGATTCAGGCATCACCATGATCCTATCTACTTCTTTTATCTACAAATTGTTAGTAAATTAATTTAGAAATTTTAACCATACCTTGAGCATCTGAATCCCTTCTTCATAAGTTAGCCGAAGTGTATTCCGCAGATACTGCACATTCACAGGGCTATTGTCAGATCAGAAACAAGAAGTATCATACATATCCATTTACATCTCATACTGCACACTACATAGCAATCAACTATATAAAATATTTATGATAATACAAAATAACCACCTTTAAAGGTTCAAACGGGTACTGAGACTCTACAGCTTCCAGATCCTTCTTACAATGTTGGTTCAAACTGTCAAACATTGCAACAAATAATCTATCAACTATGTCCATAACCTGCCCAAAAACTCAAATCATCAGTAAATCATTTATGTTCCTCGATGGTTTCAAATGCAATCACATAAAATGTGCCAACAAGCCAAAAATACCTCAAAATAATGCTTCTTGATCTCCATTTCAACGTCAAGACCTGTAAACTCACACAGATGCCTGTGAGTGTAGGAATCTTCTGCTCTAAACACAGGACCAATTTCAAAAACACGGCCAAAATCTCCACATATAGACATTTGCTTGTGAAGCTGAGGCGACTGGGCCAGGCATGCAGGTTGGCCTTTGTAGTCCAGTCTAAAAACAGCAGCTCCACCCTCACTAGATCCAGCAATCAACTTTGGAGTGTGAATTTCACAAAAACCTTCAGATAGTAAGAACTGTCTAAATGCCTGCACAATAAAGCAATTAAAAGTTATTCCAACCATTTGGCTCAGAGTCCAACTGCAATCGCATATCTTAAGTGAGAGTCTCAGTAATCATTATGCACTTATTATTTCAATAAACATAAATTTGAAGTAACGAAATTGGCACCAGTAATTAAAATAAATAAATAAATAAAATAAAGTCTTCAGAATATCATCAGAGATATGAAAAATAAATACATACATTGGCAACGTGAGACTGAACGCGAAAAATTCCTTGATTAGCTGGTGTTCGCACGTCAAGCACTCTGAAGTTCAAACGTGTGTCCTGATTAACCCGAACAAGTTGCTCACCAGCCTTCACCCATTAAAATTCCCATTAACAAGCACATAAAGGAAGATAAAAATAATGACAACAAATTCCTCAATCAAAAGCAGAGACAAATAAACAGGAACCATAATTCAAACAACCAGCAAAATAGAGAGTACCTGAAGAGCCTTCTCAATTTCAACCTCACTCCGAGCAGCGTCCTCAAGATTAATTGGCAGAGTAGGTACGGCCCTACTGACACAATACAACTTCTTCACTTGAATTTCCACCTACATGAACAAACCAAGCCATCAGCTCCAGGAACTCCAAATCCAATTACTAATCTTAAACCAACCAAAAAAAAGGGGAACAAACATGCAAATACGTATCTTCAAGTAAACGGTACGATCTCATTACATAAAACACAGTTCAATACTTTAGTTTATACAGTATTCTAATTGGCAATACATAAGAAAAAAAAAGGTGCCATCAAAAATCTGCATGACTCCATTGCATGGAAGAGAAAACATACGAACAATATTTTCAATTGGTAATCACAATCATCAAATCTAACCACTAATATTCAGTCTACCAAATCTTCAAATAAATCAAATTATAATATTATATACCAAAAAAAGAACAATTCAGTATTTTTTCTATTTTCATACTAAAAAAAGCGTGTCATCATCAGAGACTGTGTATGACAACTACTACAGAGAGCATTGAATCGAAGACGAACCAACAAACATCACAAACCCTAACAACCAAAAACAAACGAACCTGCTGCGTGGCGCCTTTGATCGGAGCGGCGGGGATCGAAACAACGCCTTCGACATCGACGATGGACTCGCGGTTGAGCGAGGCGGCGAACTTCACCATCTGCGGGCTCACCGTATCGGGCTGCGCCTGCACCAGACACTGAACAGTGAAGCCGTTCTCTCTTATGACCAAGAACGCCATCTTCTTCCCCACCGGTCGAATCGTCTGCGCCCTCCCTCGGATCAGCACCGCGCGGTTCTCGAGCGTGCCGCCAAGCGCCTCCACGTGCGTCCACTCGCCAACGTCGACCGGCGTCTTGGACTGCAGGTCGACGAGCGGCACGTCGCCGTAGTTGGCGGCGAGGGGATCAGCCTCATCGACGGAGAGGTTTGCGGTTGCCGCTGACGCAGCAGCGATTTCCTGGCGGCGTCGGAGCTTGTCCTGCTTGGCGGCCTCCTTCTTGGCGGCCTTTTTGCTAGGCTGCGGCTCCGATGCAGCGGCAGTGTCTTGGGACTCCGAAGACGACATCGTTTCGAGCGCTCAACGTGGGTTTTGGGTTTTACAACAGAGCGATAAGACTAAATTGTTGAGCCAATGAAATAAACTTATTCTAGGGTTGAGGTTAATTTTTTATTTAATTATTTTTTTTTTTTTAACGAAGGGAATATATATAGTACGACACGGAATGGTATACTAATCCAATTTGAACGCTGAGACTAGGCAACAAATTGCAAATTGAAAATGGAAGCGAGATCCATGGTATTGGCATATTGGAACGCATGTTTCTAACAACTTGTAAAGTACGCTCAGTTTTTTTTTTTTTTTAAAATAACTTTCAGTCAGTCTTATTTTTTTGGCCATGTGTATAAAAAATAATGAATAAAAACTTTGGGTGATGTTAAAAGTTCATTTTTTTTTAAACCAATGAATTGATATGGATCGTTCTTAGTGGAAAATAATTACCTAACAATTTTGAGGATTTTTGGCCGAATATAAAATGGCTACTTTCTCTTTTTAATATGATTAAAATGATATTTAAAAAATTAATTTAACAAATTATAAATATTAAATAAAACTACACGGTGAAGTAGATGTAAATGTGAAATAATAAGATAATATTTTGATATTAAGTTTAATTTTATTGATAAAATTTCATAAAAATATTTTTTTATTATTGGAAAAAAAATGAATAGGTAATTTTATCAATAAACACTAATGCACTAAAGATATTTTACAACAAGATTTGATAGTAATTATATTAAATATGAAGTAATGATCAAAATTAAATTTAGAATCTAAGAGGAGATTTCTAAATAATTTTGCAATCTTCGAAAAATCCTCTATGAAACACTCGTAAAACTCAACTTACTTAAGAAATTTATGACTACCTTGACATTTGTTGGATGTGACAACTTTGCTATAATTTCAATTTTAGCTGGATTCACTTCAATGTTTTTCTTAGAAATTTTGTGGCCAAGTACAATCTTTTCTTTTACCATGAAGTGACATTTTTTCGAGTTGAGAACTAGGTTTGTTTTTACACACCTTTTTATTACAGTGTCCAAATTCTTCAAACAATATTCAAATGATTATCCAAAACTGAGAAGTCGTTCATGAAAATTTATGTTCTTCCCTGCCATGTCTGAACAAATACAAGCATGCACCGTTGAAAGGTGGTTGAAGCATTGCATAACCCAAATGACATTTTTCTGTATGCAAAAACACCAAAGGGACATGTGAAAGTAGATTTTTCTTGATCCTTGGGGTTTACTACAATCTAATTGTAACCCAAATAATCATCAAGGAAGCAGTAGTAAGTTTGACCAATCAATGTTTCCAACATCTGATCCATGAAGGGGGTGGAAAATGATACTTTCTTGCTAGTTGGTTTAATTTTCCATAATCTATACACATTCTCTAGCATGTGACAGTTTTGGTCAAAATCAACTCATTCTTCTCATTGCATATCACTATCATCCCTCCTTTCTTAGGAACAACTTGTAAATTATTTTGTAATTTTCTTACGTTCCTAATTCATTCCAGAAAACTACTCTACAGGATCTTTAGATTCATGATTCTTATACAATAACATAAATTATAATAAGAAGACTAACATTCATCCATGAAAGATATTCAATGAGAATACCTTATTTAATGTCTTTATTCTCCAAGCTCTTTTTTTCAATCTATCTCTTTATCTTTCTTTCTCCTGTCACGCTTTTTGGATGGTTTACTGTGAGAAGAACCTTATAGTTAGAGATAGAACCCTAATCTTCTTTTATTAACTAATATCTATCAGGTTGGTTACCATAAGTTTTATTTTATTCTATCTTTATTTTATTATGACTTCCCATAATAACTAATAGGTCCTTATATTTTATTAAATCACATTTGGGTTCATCATTATATTTCACATGAGTCACATAATATTAATTTAATTAATTAATTATAACACAACATGTATAGGATTGACCCAAACACTATCGGATATTGGGTATATCATGTAAGTTTCAAGCAATTTCATCACCTCCTTTCTTACCACTTCTTTCATTGTAGGATTGAGGCGCCTTTGAGGTTGTGTTATAGGTTTGTAGTCTTCCTCCATCAAAATTTTGTGCATACAATATGAAGGACTGATTCCCTTCAAATATAATAATGTTCATCCTATAGCTCCTTCATTGGCTTTTAGCACCTCAACCAATGTTCTTCCTATGTTGACAGTGAGTTTCTTAGTATAACTGGCTTGCCTCCATTTTCTTCAAGAAAACCATATTTCAAGTGTGATGGAAATTGTTTTTATTCTAATTTTGGAGGTTGAAGAATTTCTTCTATATTTAACTCTTGCTTTTGGGCGGTAGGAGAAGAAATTTCTTTAGTTTTATCCACTTCTAACAGACACCTTATTTCTTCCTCCTCATCAAAAGCTTCAATGAAATTCAACAATGCTTTCTTTAAAGGTTCAACAATAGAGAATTTTGCATGCACTTCTAAACAACATTCATCAATTGCATCAATTTTAAAACACTCCTTCTTGTTACTTGGATGTCTCATTGCTTCAAAAACATCAAAGTTAACTTCATCATCCTGCACTCACCTTCAATTTTCCCTTGTCGACATTAATGATTACCTTAGTTGTCTTCATGAAGGGTCTTCCAAGAATAAAAGGAATTTCATCATCTTCCTACATATCCATCATTACAAAGTCAACTAGAAAAATAAATTTACCAACCTTCACCAAGATGTCCTCAATTACCCCATGTGGATATTTCATCGATCTATAAGTAAGTTGCAATATCATCCTTATAGGCCTCATTTCTACCTCTCCTATATTTTTCAGCATTGATAGGGGCATCAAATTAATGTTGGCTCCAAGATCTAATAATGTCTTGCCAATTGTAAGATTCCAATTGTTACAGACAAAGTGAAACTTTTTGGATCTCTTCTAAGGTAGAGATTTTTGGATAATGATATTGCATCCAACTTCCAGTGTAATTGTCTCTTGCTCATTAAACTTTATCTTCCTTGTCAACAACTCTTTCATGAACTTGGCATAAGTTGACATTGGTTTCATGCTTCTATAAATAGGATGTTTATCTATAACATTTTGAGAATATCCAGGAATCTAGCAAACTATCTTTCCTTGTCTTTCTTTGATGGAGCATATGCATAAGGCAAATTCTTCACTGGAGGAATATTTTCATCTTTATTTATCTTCTTAATTTTCTCATTCTCCTCACCATCATCCTCGTTCTTTTTTATTTCATCTTTTTGTTCCTCATTTTCCTTTTTTATATTATTCCTCTCCCAATACTAGTGTCTCTCCTAGTTGTAATAGACTTACAATGCTCTTTAGGATTGACTTGGGTATTAGCTAAAAACTTATTGTCCTATTGTACAACTAATTGCTTAGCTAGTTGTCTGACCTGCATCTCTAAGTTTCTAATAGAAGCTTAAGTATTCTTTTGGTTTGATGTAGAAACTTGCATGAATTGTGTAAGGGCTTCCTCCATCTTGGACAACCTATCTAGTTGATAATTCTGTTGAACTTGATAAGGCCTTTGAGGAGGTTGTCTCTAAGATGTCTCATCATCTTGATTCTAGCCAGAATATTGATTTAGATTGCTTCTCCAGCCTGAATCCTTATTAAAGTCGTGAGGGTAATTGTCTTGCCTTCTTGCATTATTCATGTATGATAGAATTGGTAGAAACTGAAAGGAAGAAATATAAATCGAAAATATTTCTAAAACAAATATGTAATTTGTATTTTTATTCATGTTGAATACAAAGAGAAGGTAGGTATTTATAGTTACACTCTCAATACAATAGAAGGTTGAACAGAACGCTGAGTCAGCAAAACTGACTCAAATTCTAATAAGCACATGGGCTAATACATCAACAGAAAGCTAAGTCAGCATAATTGACTCAAGTTAATTAAGCACATGGGCTAATACAATGCAACTGCAATACATCAAAATCTAATAGAAGTTATTCACTAACAATGTAGATAACTTTTTCCTCTTATTATGGGTCAACAATGGTACAATGACCATTTGGATGATCTTCATAAAAATTATATCTCATTACATGTTAAGATATAAATTGTGAAGATGACCCCACTTGCATTTTTGACATTAGTTTCTTTAAATCCTCCATTTGCGGAGAAAGAATTTTATTTGGGACTAGGATTGCATTTTGAGTGTCTAACTTTAAAATTCTTCTCTTGGAGGGTGTTGGTTGGCTTTTATCATGATGTATTTGATAATCACTAGCTACTAATGCATCAATTATTATTATAGCCTCTTCTTAATCCTTCATCATCATAGATCCTCCTGCAAAAGCATCTAGTAACATTTTAGTTTGTGGTCTCAATCCATTACAAAATATATTGAGTTGTGCTACATCATCAAAGATTTGTATATTTCCCATGCTTCACACAAGGGTTCATCAATAGCTTGAGAAAAGGTAATAATGGGAGAATTTGCATTAATGTATCTAGAAGGGAGAAAAATTCCGATCAAGAATTTTCTCTCTACAGCATCCCATCTAGTTAGGCTCTAATTTCAGTGAAACTGCAGTCATGTTCTAGCCTTTCCAGTTAAGGAAAAGGGAAATAATCTGAGGTAAACTACTTCTTTATCCTCTCTAAGCACTCCCATGGTACCACATAGCTCATAAAAGGTGGATAAGTGATTATATGGATCCTCTTGCTCCATCCATGCAAATTGATTGGAGGTTATGAGTGAAAGCAGAGCAGACTTCATTTCAACTCCTTTTGTTGGACTGGCTATGTTGGAAAAGTGTCTCTGCCCCAACTGATGCGCATATCCTCCTAAAAGTCTTATTTGATTATTATAGTTGCATCATTCACCTTCTAGGTCTTCATTTGCACCAACACCTCCAAGATCAACCATCTAATCTATTTGTTGCTCTAGAATTGGGATAGAGGTGGATGCACCTTCCTATTGTTACCTCTCTTTGTTTAGCTTATTTTGTTTCATTGTTCTACTGTTATTTCTTCCCACTATTTT